CTGTGCATCTCCTGGCCCCCTGCTGCCAGTGGGCGACTTGACAGCCCCAGCGACCCCTGCAGGAGCAGTGTGAGAGCTGCTTTTCCCTTGTTACCTGAGAGGGGAACTGTCCTGCCAGCTGGGCCTCACTAGGGGGCGCTGTCTCCCCTGGCAGTCCATGCCGACCCCTGTCCCCCGCTGAGCCGTGCTGTGTGGTGGATGGTGGGGTCTTGTGAATCTCTCCTGAGTGGCGCGTTATCCGTCATCCCTCTCTTTGCCATGCGTGTCGGTTTAGGAGGGGCCGGTGCTGGGAGCAGTGGGAGCCTACGACTGGTCTGGTGGGATATATTTATATGGGACCAGTGGGGAGCCGAGCTTCATCAATGTGTCCAGAACCTCCAGCGACATGGATTATGCTTACCTGGGTAAGGACACAGCCAGAGAGCTTCCCTGCCCCTTCAAACAGCCCCCTGACTCCACCCCAGCGGCAACTGCATCTCTGCTCTGGGGGAGTGATTGCGGTATGAACAGGCTGTCACGGAGTGTGGGGGAGTCACCGGGCCCTGCAACCCCCCAGCCCGCCCCCCCCCAGCCAGACCTGCCTCTCCACCAGCAAGTGGCACAGAAGGTTTATTGGTTGACAGGGACACAGCGTAGCACCCACTTGCTGCTAACAAAGGGAACCAGGAGCAGCCAGCACAATCCACCTTGGGGAGAGGGAGGCCCAAGGCCAGCACCCTGGTCCCCCTCCCTGTATCCTCCCCCAGCCCAGAGTAACTCTCCCACCCAGCAACTGGCCCCAGCCCTCCAGCCCCGCCCCCGCCTTTGTTCAGATTCCTGGGCAAGGTGTCACCTGGTTGCTCCCCCACCCAGGCTCAGGTTACAGGACAGTCTGAGCTATTGTTGAGTACCTGCTAAGATGGGGCAGGGAGAGCCACCCCCAACATTCCCATGCCCAGCTGGGTTCCAGCACAGGGACCAGGGAAACTGAGGCACACACACATGGGAGGAGCCACCCCCAACATTCCCATGCCCAGCTGGGTTCCAGCACAGGGACCAGGGAAACTGAGGCACACATACACACATGGGGTCACAACAAACCAGCATAGGACAGTAGTAACAAAGTAGGAGTGAATACAATCCCCCCCACCTCACACAGGCCCTGCCCCATCTAAGTGACGGTTGCGTCTCCATTCGGGGCAAGGGGTCCCTGTGGAGCACTGTCCTGTGGCTGTTTCCCATCTCACCTCCCCGCGTCCCTCTCTTCCTTTGAGGTTATTCATCTCAGGTCATCACCGCCCGTGGGCAGAGCAGCTACGTGGTCGGGGCCCCTCGCTACCAGCACGTCGGCAAAGTCGTCCTGTTCAGCCAAGATACCAGCAGCGGGCAATGGGCAGCCAGCTGGGAGAAGGACGGGGAGCAGGTATGGGGAGCACGACAGACAGGGTGGAGCCGGTGTTGAAGGAAGCCTGTACCATTCTGACACCCTGTTATAGTGAGATTGAGTCAGAAGGACTCAGGAAGGGGAATCTTTCACAAGTTTAGAAAACTGCAGTCGGCATCTCCCCAGCATCCCACTGCCCTGATAAGTGAGGGCTTCTCTGCACTCAGTGTCTCTTCAATGCTGAAGCTGTGCAGGGAGAGCACTGCAGTGAGGAGGATACCTCTGCCAAGAGGAGGCTTCTCCAATTGGCCTAGGTAATCTCCCTCCCCAAAGCTGCGTCTACACAGCAGCGTTATTTCGGAATAACAGTGCGAGCGTCTACACAGCAATTCCGTTATTAAGGAATAAATTCGAAATAACGGGCGACTTGTTCCAACTTCTGTAAACCTCATTCCACGAGGAATAACGCCTCTTCCGAAATAGCTATTTCCAAATAGCTGTAGTATGGACGCTCCACTGCTGCTATTTTGAAATAGCTGTTCCCCAGGCCATTCAAAGTCATTCCTCCCTGGTGAATCCTGGGGCTGTACATTGGGGTCGTGTGTCCACATTAGGGGATCGTGCCTCAGACTCATTTCAAGGCTTCCCTGTAGTATAGACTACTTGGAAATAAGCTATTTCAGAGTATTTCTTCTGGAATAGCTTATTCTAAAATATATGTGCAGTATAGACATACCCAAGAGACAGGTGCTAGGTTGACAGCAGAATTCTCTCATTCATCTAGCACCAACTGCTCCAGGGGGTAGATAAGTTTACTTGTATTGCTCAGGCGGATGGATTTTCACACTCCTGACCAATGTAACTTATTGGTTAGTGTAGACCAAGTCTTAGACGGAACTCATAATAGACTAATAGAAAAAATAGACTAATAGAAAAAAATGAAGACAGGGTTAAAATATTATCGACATTACGCAGGGGGTCTGAGCAGTATTGCACCTCCATGAACACTGTCTGCTTCTCCAAGATCTCTCTGCCTACACATTCCAGCTAAGCAGGATTTATGACAGTGACTTAGAGGGGCGCAGATAGTGAATCAATGCTACTTGTGCAAGCACAGTGTCTCAGAAGAAATGCACCACAACGTGCACTCAGCGTCTCTGAAAGATGCTGCCTACCTCGGCCTCCACATCCCCTTGGACAGAAAACTGACAGTAATGGCACCGCCTGCTGTGTCTAAAGGGTGGGTGAGGGAAGAGGATGGACTGAACCTGAGAATGGGGGCAGGTGCTGGGTGCTGCTGGAAGAAGATGGAGGAGGTGACTAAGTTCAAGAGGTGACTTCATTGCCCCTCCAGATTGGCTCGTATTTCGGGGGTTCGCTGTGCGCTGTGGACCTCAACAGCGATGGGAAGACGGACCTGGTTCTGATCGGAGCCCCCACGTTCTATACACCTCTGAATGGAGGGCAGGTGTATCTCTGCTCAGTTAGCCGGCAGGTAGGACGGATGGGCTGTGGGTCGTGTTTTACGTGGGCAGGGATACTGTGAAAAAATACAGCTATACACACTTTTTAAAAAGACAATCATTCTCAAAGTGCATGAAAAGACTAAAAGTATTCAGCTACCAATGTAGGAGAAAGATTCGATGGCTAAGTACGATTCAAGGTAGTTGCTAACTGTGAGCCGTCCAATCTTTCTCCTACACTGCTAGCTGAGAACTATTATGTTTACCCTTTTGGTGTGCTTTGAGAGAGATTGTCTTTCTTAAAAGTTTATATGTATTCTTTTTTATCTTAAATGTGGTGTGTTTCCACTCCTAAGATCTGCAAGGCTGATTCCCACCTGGTGCTCGGGGGCAGCGGGCTAGAGCTGCCCATTCCGATTCGGGGGCAGCTCTGCTTCCACCCTGGTGCTCTGGGGGCTCAGCCCCCTCTGTCTCTTCTCCCTGCACTGTGATGGCTCAGCCCTCCTCCTTCCCCTTCCCCTTCCCCTCCCCTCTCCCCGTGCTCTGCGGCTCAGCTCCTGCTGTCTCTGCTCCTCTCTCCGTGCGGCGCTGCACAGAGCCAGGCTGTGCCGGTGCGTGCACAGGAGCAGGAAGTTGAAAATCCCGTGACAGACAGACAAGAACCGTGGCTGCTTAATACAAAGATTGTCTGATAAACACCAGGTTCCCGGGAGAGAGGCGGGAGGCTCGGTGGAGGGGGCACTCACTTGACAGTCTGTGCTGGCCCCCGTGCCGTGCTGGAGGGCGCCCTGTTGCTGGGAGAGGCTCAGTAGGGGGCGCTCACCCACACAGTCGATGCTGCTCTATTCCCCATGTGCCTCTTTGAATCTGGCCTGCAGGGGGCGACGCTGATCTGCACCAAGACCCTGCAGGGGCAGTCTGGACAGGCGTTGGGGCACTTCGGGGCCAGCATGTCTGAAATCGGGGACATCAGTGGGGACGGACAGACGGACGTGGCCATCGGGGCCCCCATGGAGAACGACAACCGTGGGGCCTTGTACATCTTCCATGGGGAAAAGAGAGGCCTCAGTCCCCAGTACAGACAGGTGAGCCCAGCTCCTGCGGCAAGGTGGGCTCAGCACACAGCCCGATGGGATGTTCCAGGAACTCCTTGGTGACAGCCGTGGGTAGTTGGGTGATGTGGGTTGTTTTGGGAAATTAGGGTTCAAATCCCGTTTCTTATTATTGGGAGCCTGGCTAGCTCAGTTGGTAGCCTGAGGGCCCAGGGTTCAAGTCCCTGGTCTGGTGAAGGGGCCTTTTTCTGCACTGGACTTGATGTGCTTTCAAAATCCTTTCCAGTTCTAGTTCGCTGTGATTCCTAACCCTTACGCTCTGCTGCCCCCTCCTGTCCCTTACACAGTCCAACTGCCCCGGCATGGGACTGCTCCTGTTCCCACAGGGTGAGAGCAGGACTGCATTGTTGAGTGAATTATTTCCATAATAGACAATTGTGTTCCCAGATAAATACGTAGCGATGTGCTGGGCACACCTGAAAAGCTGTGAGAAGGTCTACAGGGCTAGTGTTACTAAAATGGCCACCCAAAAAGCAACCAACCAGCTAGAGCATAGTCTAGATCTTGTGAGCCTGACCACCCTGGAAAGAACTGGAGAGGCCGTGGTACCTACCATACCTGCAGGCTTCCCAGAGCTGTGGGATGCTTTCCAAATGCATCTGGATGAGCCTATTAAATAGGCCCCTCCACCTGCCCAGTTCCTTCTCTTTCCAGCTCTATCCCCCACCGCCACACACACATTTTCCCTGAATCTTGTTTTAAGATTTTTTTCTTTACTCAGATGGATTCTTAGAAGCAAAATTGGGTTGTTTCCAAATGACGGAATATGAGACATTGCTCCATATTCTAACCAGTCCAAGAAGATACAGTTGTAGCGGGAGAGTATAGCTCTGGATACAGACACATTGGTAGAGGTGGGATGTTCATGTAGGAGAAGTTTAGGTACGTTCGGTTTGGTTTGGTTTGGTTTGGTTTGGTTTGGTTTTTCTAGATTTATATTATTCAGAAATGTCTATTTCAGAGAAAAATGCAGGCGAGACACCCATTGGCCTCCCGCCCCCTCCACTCCCCTCTGGCAGGCCTGGGAGAGAGGGAGAAGGGGCAATTACCCTGGGGTCTGGCAATTTAACAGGGCACTGGGCTCCCACCCACCGCTGCCAATACAGCAGCAGCAGTCAGAGCATCGGCTCCTTTCAATCACCACAGGAATCCTGGGCAGCAAACTCCAAGCAGTGCTGCAGGGGGCTTGCACCAGCCCCGCCCCTTTCACACCAGGCCACACCCCTTCCAGGGCACAGAGCCACGCCTCCAACTTGCCCTGGCAATTCTGATGGCCGCCCTGCCCCCTAGTGCCAGCTTAGGACCTTTCAGCTAAGAAAGGTCAAGTTGCACTTTTGAACGGCTCAGCCACCATTTAGGTGCATAGTAACGGGCGCTCCTGCCCTTCTCCGCTTTATGGATTTGAGTGGTGGTTTTGCCCTTTAGGTGAATCAAATTGATTTAGTCCAGTTACTGAGTTTCATTTCTAGGACTGCTTTGCCCGGACTCCCTAATCCGTGAACAGGATTTCATCGTGCTAGGCGCGTCTGATTCCTCAGTGAATGGCTTAGCATTAAATTGGGCTTCAGAGATGCAGGGCTGCCTGGATTATTCATTTTAAAGATCAGAAGGGATGGGGTTGGCAAGAGAGGACTGTGAATAGTATATTTGTAGGCTTGGTTGAGTAAATACAATCCTGCAGTATCCTAGCCTAGAGTAAAGATACAAAATGTTGTAGTCACTAGGAGCATGTCCACACTAGGAAACTATGTTGAAATAACTAAAATCTATTTAATAACTCCCAAAATAACAACATTGAAATAGTGTGTCCTGATTACGAGGAAGTCTTGAAATTAGTCCAGTGCAGGCTCCATTAATGTGGACATGCTACCTTAACTTAGAGCCCCAGGAAGCACTGGGGAGTAATTAGTCTGAATTACTCTGGGAAATAGTTATTTCAAAATAGCTGCACAGTAGCGTCTACACTGGTACTATTTTGAATAACTATTCTGAAATTAGCATTACTCCACGAGGAAAGTAGGAGTACAGATTTTGAATTAAATAGGCTGTTATGTCATAACTAGCCAATTAGCCCATCGTAAGACGGGATTTTCAGGTCTCTCCTCCATGTCGGTCTGCTCTCCTGAGCCTCCGGTCTCTCGCTCCATCGCTCTCTCTCTCTCTCCTTCTCATATTGCCTCCCCCCCTCTCTCTGTCAGCTCTCCTCCGCCTCTTGCCTCTCTCTCTGTCTCTCTCTTTCTCTTCTCCTCCCTCTCCTGCCTCTCACTTAGGGGACCAGGGAGCCCAAATGGCTGTTTGGGCACCACACTCCCTGTGCTGCATGGAGAGAACGGAGCCCAAACAGTCGCTTGCACCACTTGCTCCCACGCAGCAGCCTGGCTGAGCGGCGCAGAAGTCAGCCGAGTGCCACGGTGGGAGGCGAAGGGGGATGGGCCGGTGATGTGCGGTGTGACAGCGGTTCCAGGCCCTGCCCCCTCAAATACAGGACAACAGAACACCTCCAGCTTCCATTCACAATTATTTCAATGTTTATACTCAAGATATTAAGTTTCCAAGCAAGTGACACCATTTTTTATTTTATTAAAAGATTTATAAAATTTGAGGGGAAAAGTTGCCTTAAGTTAAAACACTGGAAGAGGCGTTCTAGGTTATATTCCTAATTATGGCCCTGACATACCAATTGAACAGTCACTAGTACAATGGAGCCATTGTTCATGACTGAGGGTACATCTTCACTACAATGTGAGCCCAGGGTTTGTACTCAGAATCAAACTTAATCCTGACATAGGGTCACAGAAATCATGGGGGTGGAAGGATCCAAGACTGAGTCATGCCGGGATACAGGGTTTAAGTCCTACTAATTTGTAGTGAAAACCCAGCCCCGCTGCACTCATGGTCTGGGAGTCCACCAACAGTATTCCACAAGCCACAGACTGAGTCTTCATCTTCTTGCTGAAATTATTAATATGGAAAATCCCCAGACACCAATTTAACCGTAGATTTCTTTATGAACGCCATGGGACAAATGGAACTTTATGCAACTGCTCTAAGCATGCCTGAAAATAAGCTATCACTACACCCAATTCAGTAACAAAATACTGCTCAGCTCCAATGTGATCAGGCAGGTATTAGCAATGAGTTTATTTTTTATACCTTTAATGAACAAGTGATGTCATTGAAAATTACTGACTTCAGCTAAAAACCAACTGGAGACAGTTTATTTGTATTTCCTGTCTTAATCCAGATTAGGGATATCAATGTGTAGTCAATCACACAATCATATATATAGTAGCCCAGTGTCTGTAACATTGAAATGCTGGCTGTTCCCTCTGGGGGAGGGAGGAGAAGGGGGCACTGTTGCCTGAAATGCTGGCTGTTCCCTCTGCGGGGTGCTGTTGCCTGAAATGCGGGCTGTTCCCTCTGGGCGGCCAGTGCTGCATGAGAAGTGCAGGGCCCAAACAGCCACTTGCACCGCTTGCTCCCCCACGGCGACCCAGCTAAGTGGTGCAAGAGGATCGGGGACATCAGCGGGGACGGACAGACGGACGTGGCCATCGGGGCCCCCATGGAGGACAACAACCACGGAGCCTTGTACATCTTCCATGGGGAAAAGGGAGGCCTCAGTCCCCGGTACAGACAGGTGAGCCCAGCTCCTGCAGGGAAGATTCAGCACACAGCCCTGAAGTGACATCATGGCGCCCTATAGCCCCCTAATGCTGGTGAGCCCCTAGCTGCCCCTTTCCTATTCCTCTCTGCTGCCCCCTAATGATCATTATACAGAAGATTCACCCATTTCCTAGCCCTTTCTCTCTGCTGCCCACTTTATAAGATCAGCCATCCCTTCCGCACTCCTTACTGCTCTCTCTGCCCCACAGCGCATAGAGGGGGCGCAGTTCCCCAGCAGGCTGCACTACTTTGGCCAGGCCGTCAGTGGCGGGACAGACCTGACGGGGGATGGGCTGCCGGACATCGCGGTGGGAGCACGAGGCCAGGTCCTGCTGCTGAGGTGAGTCCCTCTGTGTCCTGGCCCTGCCCCACCGGGCAATCTCAGACAGAGCCTGAACATGGGGTGTGGGGGTGGGTGTCTGCCACCCCCTGCTGGGGAAAGGCAGGATAACAGCGCGGCTGCCTCCTTCTCTGCCTTCCAGCATCTCCTCTGGCTGCTCTGCGTGTCCATAACCCGTCTCCCTGCCTACTGGGGGCACGTCCAGGCAGGGTGGGAGGCTCAGGGGAGGCACGGGGCCTAGCCCCAGTGCAGGGAGTGGCGGGATGATGGTTCTGTTCTCCACCCGGCAGGTCTCGGCCAGTGCTCAGAGTCGGGGTGTCCATCAACTTCCAGCCCCCCATGATCCCCACCTCAGCCTTCGACTGCCAGGAGCAGGGGCAGCTCAACATGGAGGCCAGCATGTCAGAGATCTGCTTCACCATCACAAAGAGCACCAGGGACAGCCTAGGTCAGACCAAACCCACCCCCTGATTCCCTCCCCCCTAATCTCCTAGTCCCCTGTCTTGGGGCAGGATTGGAGCCAGCGCAGGCCCATGTCCCATTTCCCCTTGAGCGTCCTGCTCTCAGCCTCTGTCCTGCATTTCCCCTCCTCTGTAGGTAACAGGATCTCCAGCACCATCCAGTACAGCCTGGCCCTGGACCCCGGGCGGAGGAAGATCCGAGCTGCCTTCGGCTCCACCGGCCCCGTCCTGAGCAGGGAGCTGAAACTCGGCATTGAACGGAGATGTGAGACACACCCGATAATGTTACCTGTGAGTTTGTGTGGGGGGTTCCCAGCTCCTCCCCCTCCTGCTGTGTCTGCCCCTGCAACTCTGCCCCTTGCTCCAAACCACCCAGAACAAATCTCTCCCAGATCCCGCCTTTCCTCATGGGTCCCTACGTGTATCTCTGTCTCCCCAGCTCTGCCCTGAGGACACCCTGACCCCCATCACTCTGCGCCTCAACTACACCCTGACGGGGGAGCCCATCGCTAACACCAACGGTCTCAGACCCATCCTGAGCGAGGACTCCGCACTAGTGCCGGCAGGCTTGGTAAGCCTGCAGTGTTTGTGACGTTGTAGTGACTGGGGGTTTTGATTACGGTGTTGGAGTAATCTGTATTGAGGTTCTGTGTTGATGTAAAATTGTAATGTGGGTGACCATGCTGTGTGAGTTTGCAATGATTGTGTTATTGATTGCATTGGTGCTTAGGACTGCAATGGTTTTGGTGACAGTATAAACTGAGGTTGAACTAGCTGAGTTAGTGAGGTTGATTCTGATTGTAGTGATCTTGGTTATAGTGTTGGCCGAGGCTGTAGTTATTGTCGTATGGGTGATGTTGGTTCAGAGAGTAATAGTTTTGGTTATGTGTTGATTCAGATTGGTTTGGCTTTATTGCTTATGCTGTCTGGTACACATTGCATTCGTGATGGTGGTGATTGTATTGAGATTGTTGTAGTGTTAATGACAGTGTTGGTTCAGATTTTAATGGTTGCATTTGTTACTGTATTGTTACACACTGTACTAATGAGTGACAGTGATTGTAATGGCGTTGGTGAAAGTTTGAGGTTGCTGTTTGAAAATTGTCTTATGTGTTATTACAGTTGAAATTTTAATGCTGTTAGTTACAGTGTTAGTTGTTATCATGGCTGCATTGTAACATTGTTGTTTCAGATTAGATTTACAGTGGTGGATATTGTAATGTTGTTGGTTATATTGTTGGCTAAATTTGTAGTGGTTCTTTCATTGTAACAATTTTGTTTGACACTGTATTGGAGGTAGAGGTGAAGGCGATGGTTGAGACAGTAGTTGAGGTGCTAGTATTGGCAAAGGCTCTTGCATTTATATCAAAGGGGACAGTGTTACCTCAGAGGCTGTACACTCAGAGGCTGTACACTGGAATGAATTTCTGGAAATGCTTAAAACAGAACAGTTTTCCATTATAAGTATTTCTGGAAAAAGAGCATCTACACTGACAGGCTGCTTTTCCGGAAAAGCCCTTTTTCCGGAAAAGCGTCTGTGGCCAATGTAGACGCGCTTTTCCAGAAAAAAGCCCCGATCGTCATTTTTGCGATCGGGGCTTTTTTCCGGAAAAGACTACTGTGCTGTCTACATTGGCCCTTTTCCGGAACAGTTTTCCGGAAAAAGGACTTTTGCCCGAGCGGGAGCAGCATAGTTTTTCCAGAAAAACAGCTGATTTCTTACAGTAAATGGTCACTGCTTTTCTGGAAATTCAAGGGGCCAGTGTAGACAGCTCACAGCTTATTCCGGAAAAGCGGCCCAGTGTAGACACAGCCAGAGAGTTCTGAAGTTGATGTTGCTTGTGATTGAGATGGTAGGGAACCTATTAACAGCAGGGTTTGAGGCATAGTAGTTCTGTTGGCATGCAATGCTGCAGGTCACATTGTAGGAGCAGAATGCAGCCATGTTGCTCATGGTAACGCTGTTGTTTCAGATTGTATTGCTGGTAACAATTGAGATTGTATGATGGGTGAAAATGCCGTCTGAGATTATTCCAGTCCCCTTCTAACCTCATGCTCCCCTCTCTCCTCTCCCTGCCCCCCGGGATGTGTCCCTAGCTCCCGTTTGAGAAGGACTGTGGGGAGGACAAAGTCTGCACTGATGAACTACACATTTCCTTCAATTTCTCAGGGTAAGTCACCCCCTCTGCCTCCTTCCCCCTTCGCACTCCCAATGACTTCCATAGTGGGGCCTGTCTCACTTGATTAGGCCTCAGATCTGCAACACCCAGCTACAGACCTTCCCATATTTCCTGGGGCACTAGACAGGGCACCGATACAGGAAGTGAGCAGCTCTTCAGTCACCAGCTGGGAATTTGTATCAGATGCTCACACCCTGCCTTAGTGCCCCCTTGTGGTATGAGGGGCTGTGTGGAGATCCTGGTTGGGCACTGCTATGGGAAGCTCACAGCACGGGCTTCCCCTGCTGAGCACTGCCCCATGGGAGCTCAGAGCAAAGCTGGGTTAATGACCTGAGGAAACCAGTGTTCTCCCCTTTGTTCTCCACAGTGTGAGCACCTTCGTGGTGGGCGTCACCCCTGAACTCAACATCACCGTCTCCATCCAGAACCGCGGGGAGAATTCCTACAGCACCACAGTGCGGTTCTTCTACCCGGCCGCACTGTCCTACCGCCGGGTCCTGCTGCTACAAGTACTACCCCATCTCTAAACATCACAAACATGGGGGACACAGAATACAGGGGAAGGGTGTGGTGATCAGCTGGTGCAGGGAGCAGGTGGGGTCCCAGTAAGGGGTGCGGTGGTGCAGAGAGCAGTGGGGGGGCTCATGAGGGGGTGCTGTGATGGAGGAGTAGGCAGGGACTCAGCACGGTTTGCTGTGCAGCAGGGAGCAGTCAATCAGTAGGGGGTGCTGTGCTGCAGGAGGCAGTGGGGATCAGTAGGGGGCGCTGTGCTGTAGGGAGCAGTGGGGATCAGTAGGGGGCGCTGTGCTGCAGGAGGCAGTGGGGATCAGTAGGGGGTGCTGTGCTGCAGGAGGCAGTGGGGATCAGTAGGGGGCGCTGTGCTGTAGGGAGCAGTGGGGATCAGTAGGGGGTGCTGTGCTGTAGGAGGCAGTGGGGATCAGTAGGGGGTGCTGTGCTGCAGGAGGCAGTGGGGATCAGTAGGGGGCGCTGTGCTGTAGGGAGCAGGCAGGGGGCTCAGGGGGCGCTGTGCTGTAGGGAGCAGTGGGGATCAGTAGGGGGCGCTGTGCTGCAGGGGCCAGTGGGGATCAGTAGGGGGCGCTGTGCTGCAGGGGGCAGTGGGGATCAGTAGGGGGCGCTGTGGGGGGGGCGCTGTGCTGTGCTTGAGCGAGCAGGTGGGGGGGCTTAGCAGGGGGCACTGTTCTACAGAGAGGAGGCAGGGGGATCAGCAGTGGGTGCTGTGCTATGGGAGCAGGGGGTGCACAGCAGGGGGCGCACTGGGCCCCATCTCTCACCAGCTGGTCCCTGTGCTCAGTCTAACAGGAGGACCATGGCCATTAAGTGCAGCTCAGCAGTGAGCTCGGAGGAGCAGACTCAGAGGAACAGCACCTGCCACATCAACCCCCCCATCTTCTGGAGCGGAGCCGAGGTAGGCATGCCCCTACCAATAGCCTGTTCCTGCCCGTCCTCGGGGCATGGCTCCCTCTTATCCTACATCTGTTTCCCAGGCCGTCTTCCTCGCCACCTTTGATGTCTCCTCTGAGGCCGACCTGGGGGACAGGCTGGAGATGATGGTCAGCGCCAGCAGGTGAGGGGGCAGGCCGCAGAGGGCAGTGTGGGGAGCAGTGCAGAGGGGTAGGTGGGTCGGGCTGTGCAGTGAGGAATGGTGCATAGGTCAGTGAACTGATGTGTGATGCGGGACACATGGGGCAGGTTACAGGTTGGTGTGATGGCAGAGTCCAGTGAAAGGCAATCAGCAGTATTCTATTGCAGTGCTGTATGGTGCAGTGCAGTGCAATGATCTGTGAGGGTAATGCAGGGATGTGTTGTGCACAGCGCAGTGCATGGCGCAATGAAATGCAATGGTAGGAGGCAGTGTCAAACAGTGGAGCGATGCAGGTCAAGGTGCCATTGAGCGGAGGGCAGTGGCGCTCGGTGATGCCCGGCACTGCAGAGTGGCATATGCCATGAAACCAGGCAGAGCAGTCCGATACGGTCCAGTCCATGACACATCGTGCACTGGTGTATGGCAGTAGAAGCTGGCTACTGCACACTGAGAGGTGTTGTGCAGTGCTGTGTGCTCAAAGAAAGGGGGCATAACACAGTGCAGTGACCTATACTTCAGCATGGGGCAGTGATCTGTACCCAAAGCAGTGGAGTATGGTGCAGCCCACGGATGTAGCCTGCAGAGTCATACCATGGTATATTATCCACAGCACTGGCAGCAGGTGCACTTCAGTGCAGTGGAGTTTAGCGCCGCTCACTGCCTATACTGCAAGGCGGCGTGGTGGGCTTAACAGCTTCTCCTCTGGTAGCTTTTTCAACCTTCTGAAACAGAAAGTTGTCTCCAATGCAGTCCAGAAACTTATTGGATAGCCTGTGCCTCGCTGTGTTAGTTTCCCAACATATGTCTGGATAGTTGAAGTCCCCCATCACCACCAAATCTTGGGCTTTGGCTAGTTTTGTTAATTGTTTAAAAAAGGCCTCATCCACCTCTTCCACCTGGCTAGGTGGCCTGTAGTAGACTCCTAGCATGATATCACCCTCGTTTTTTACCCCTTTTAGCTTAACCCAGAGACTCTCTACACAGCTATCTCCTACATTCATCTCCACTTCAGTCCAAGTGTGTACATTTTTAATATACAAGGCAACCCCTCCTCCCTTTTTTCCCTGTCTGTCCTTCCTGAGCAAGCCGTACCCTTCCATACCAACATTCCAATCACGCGTCCCATCCCACCAGGTTTCTGTAATACCAATGACATCATAGTTGTATTTATTTGTTAGCAATTCCAGTTCTTCCTGCTTATTACCCATACTTCTCGCATTTGTATATAGGCATCTAAGATACTGATTTGCAAGATACATCATGCAAGACCTTATCAAACGCCTTACTAAAGTCTAGGTATACCACATCCACCGCTTCTCCCTTATCCTATCAAAGAAAGCTATCAGACTGGTTTGACATGATTTGTTCTTTACAATTCCATGCTGGCTGTTCCCTATCACCTTGCCAAGTGTTTACAGACTTCCATAGTGGGGACTGTCTGGCTTGATCAGGCCTCAGATCTGCAACACCCAGCTACAGACCTTCCCATATTTCCTGGGGCATTAGACAGGGCACCAATCCAGGAAGCGAGCAGCTCTGTGGTGCCCGGCTGGGAATTTGTATCAGACGCTCACACCCCTGCCTTAGAGCCCCCCGCCCTGGTGGCATGAAGGGCTGTGTGGAGATCTGGGTTGGGAACTGTTATGGGAAGCTCACAGCACTGGTTTTCCTTGCTGGGCAGTGCCCCATGGAAGCTCACAGCAAAGCTGGGACAATGCTCTGAGGAAACTCACCCTTTTGTGTTCCCCCTTAGCATGAGCACCTTGGTGATGGGCGTCACCCCTGAACTCAACATCACCGTCTCCATCCAGAACCGCGGGGAGAATTCCTACAGCACCGCAGTGCGGTTCTTCTACCCGGCCGCACTGTCCTACCGCCGGGTCCTGCTGCTCCAGGTACCACACCCTCTCTAAACACCAGACATAGGAGAGACAGAATACAGGGGATGTGTGTGGTGATCAGCTGGTACAGAGAGCAGGCTGGGGCCCAGCAGGGGGCGCTGTGCTGTGCTTGAGCGAGCAGGTGGGGGGGCTTAGCAGGGGGCACTGTTCTACAGAGAGGAGGCAGGGGGATCAGCAGTGGGTGCTGTGCTATGGGAGCAGGGGGTGCACAGCAGGGGGCGCACTGGGCCCCATCTCTCACCAGCTGGTCCCTGTGCTCAGTCTAACAGGAGGACCATGGCCATTAAGTGCAGCTCGGCAGTGAGCTCGGAGGAGCAGACTCAGAGGAACAGCACCTGCCACATCAACCCTCCCATCTTCTGGAGCGGAGCCGAGGTAGGGATGCCCCTACCAATAGCCTGTTCCTACCCGTCCCCAAGGCATGGCTCCCTCTTATCCCACGTATATTTCCCAGGCCGTCTTCCTCACCACCTTTGATGTCTCCCCTGAGGCCGACCTGGGAGACAGGCTGGAGGTGATGGCCAGCGCCAGCAGGTGAGGGGGCAGGCTACAGAGGGCAGTGTGGGGAGCAGTGCAGAGGGGTAGGTGGGTCGGGCTGTGCAGTGAGGAATGGTGCATAGGCCAGTGTACTGATGTGTGATGCGGGACACATGGGGCAGGTTACAGGTTGGTGTGATGGTGCAGAATCCAGTGAAAGGCAATCAGCAGTGTTCTATTGCAGTGCTGTATGGTGCAGTGCAGTGCAATGATCTGTGAGGGTAATGCAGGGATGTGTTGTGCACAGCGCAGTGCATGGCGCAATGAAATGCAATGGTAGGAGGCAGTGTCAAACAGTGGAGCGATGCAGGTCAAGGTGCCATTGAGCGGAGGGCAGTGGCGCTCGGTGATGCCCGGCACTGCAGAGTGGCATATGCCATGAAACATCACCACTTCAGTTAAATTAAAATGGCTTCCCCACTGTGCCGATCAGCTGTTTGGCGGCACAGCGCGGGAGTCTGGATGCTCCGCAGTCGAAATCAAAAGCCTTTGTCGACCGCCGAAATACCCATTGAGTGGAGGGCAGCGCAGCTTAGTGGCTGAGAATTCACTGCAGCACGGTGATGCCTGGCACTGCAGAGTGGCATATGCCATGAAGCCAGAAAGAGCAGTGGATACAGCCCAGTCCATGACACATCGTGCACAGGTGTATGGCAGTAGAGGCTGGCTACTGCACACTGAGAGGTGTTGTGCAGTGCTGTGTGCTCAAAGAAAGGGGGCATAACACAGTGCAGTGACCTATACTTCAGCATGGTGCAGTGATCTGTACCCAAAGCAGTGGAGTATGGTGCAGCCCACGGATGTAACGTGCAGGGTCATACCATGGTATATTATCCACAGCACTGGCAGAAGCTGCACTACAGTGCAGTGGAGTATAGCGCAGCTCACTGCCTATACTGCAAGGCGGCGTGGTGGGCTATAACCCAGAGCAGTGACATATGATACACTACAGTGGCAGTGACCCATGGTGCAGTGCTATAGCGAAGGCTGCAGCCAGCATGGGGCAGTGATGAATATCCCTGGCCAGTGGTGCTTGTGGCAGTGCAGTGTATATGTTGCAGGCCAGGGCAATGGTCTATGGTGCAGTACAGTAGAATAGGGTGCTGTGCAGTAACATACACTGCAGTGCAGGACAGTGGTGCGCAGCCAAATGTGTGGTGTGCTTTGTAATACAGTGGTTTACAGAACAGGGCAGAAGTATTTAATGCAGGGCATTGTGGTGTGGCACAGGGCAGAGGTCTTTGGAGTGCAGTGTAGTGCAATATTGTGAGGGGCAGTGGCTTACAGTGCAGCCTTCGTGCCAGGTTATCTGGCTGCATCTCCTCACATCTCTCCTTTGCCTTCCCCTCCCCCCAGTGACAACGGCGGCCCCGTCACCGAGCGCATGGTTCACCGGGCGGAGCTTCCGGTCAAGTACGGCATCTTCATCATCCTCACCAGGTAGGTCAGTGCAGAGACATTGGGAGAGAGCCCCCTGCTGGGCCCCTTCCTGTTCCCTGTGGTACAGCGCCCCCTGCTGGACATGACACCCACTGCCACCCACCAGCTCCACCCATCACACTCCCATCTCCCTCGTTCCTCCCCCAGCCTCGAGGAGTCGACCAAGTACGTCAACTTCTCCGCCAAGGCGGCAGAGACAAGCGCGCCAGTGACACATCGGTACGAGGTGAGGCCGGTCGCACAGCGTGTGAGGGGCAGGTGGAGCGACGGGGGTTCAGAGGAGGGGGCAGGAGTGGGACTGACTGAGCTGGATCTAGTGGGTTAGAGCACAGAGGGGTGGGGTGGGCAGGGAGCCAGGACTCCTGGGTTCTCTCCCCAGCTCTGGGAGGGGAGCAGGGTCTGAGGGGTAGAGCCAGGGCCTGGGGGTCAGAGCTGCCGGGTTCTCTCCCTGCAGTTCCTAGGGGGAGTCTGTTTCTTCCAGGTGAAGAACCTGCGGCAGCGAAGCGTCCCCCTGTCGGTCACGTTCCAGTTCCCCGTGGAGCTGAGCGGGGTCCGTGTGTGGGACGCCTCTGAGGTCGTCCCCTCCAAGGTGCCTGCCTCTCCCTGGGCTTCTGTTTGTGAGAAGGGCCCTATGACACCTGCTGTGCCCCACAGCGCCCCCTGCTGGGCGAGGCCGGGCTGGGTCAGAGGGAGCCTTCCCCACTGCCAGGACCCCTGTCCTGTGCCCCACAGCGCCCCCTGCTGGGCGAGGCCGGGCTGGGTCAGAGGGAGCCTTCCCCACCGCCAGGACCCCTGTCCTGTGCCCCACAGCGCCCCCTGCTGGGCGAGGCCGGGCTGGGTCAGAGGGAGCCTTCCCCACCGCCAGGACCCCTGCCCTGTGCCCCACAGCGCCCCCTGCTGGGCGAGGCCGGGCTGGGTCAGAGGGAGCCTTCCCCACCGCCAGGACCCCTGCCCTGTGCCCCACAGCGCCCCCTGCTGGGCGAGGCCGGGCTGGGTCAGAGGGAGCCTTCCCCACCGCCAGGACCCCTGCCCTGTGCCCCACAGCGCCCCCTGCTGGGCGAGGCCGGGCTGGGTCAGAGGGAGCCTTCCCCACCGCCAGGACCCCTGCCCTGTGCCCCACAGCGCCCCCTGCTGGGCGAGGCCGGGCTGGGTCAGAGGGAGCCTTCCCCACCGCCAGGACCCCTGCCCTGTGCCCCACAGCGCCCCCTGCTGGGCGAGGCCGGGCTGGGTCAGAGGGAGCCTTCCCCACCGCCAGGACCCCTGCCCTGTGCCCCACAGCGCCCCCTGCTGGGCGAGGCCGGGCTGGGTCAGAGGGAGCCTTCCCCACCGCCAGGACCCCTGCCCTGTGCCCCACAGCGCCCCCTGCTGGGCGAGGCCGGGCTGGGGCCCTGGGTCCCCATCTCACGGCTTCTCCCGCAGGTGCAGACGATGGTGCAGCAGCTCGTGGTCTATAACTACCTGCCCATCATTGTGGGCAGCAGCGTGGGAGGCCTGGTCCTGCTGGCTCTCATCACTGCAGCCCTCTACAAGGTGAGGGGGGCAGGGCTTTCACCCCTTCCCCACAGCCTGGCCCTGTCTCTCTCCCAGCTGGGGAGAGGGGCAGAGGGAGGCTCCCAAATCCCATCTCTCTGTCTCCAGGCGGGTGTCTGTCTGTCTGGCTCTGACCATCTCCCCCCTCCCTTTCCTACCAGGCCGGCTTCTTCAAGCGCCAGTACAAGGAGATGATGGACAGCGCGAGGGGTGGGGATGGGACCGGCCCGGACTAGAGCGACTCTGCCAGTGTCTGCCCCAGCCCCCACATCCCCAAGCAATAGCCCCTCCCCCACATGGGATGCTCTGGATCTCCACTCCCCCACATCACCCGCCATGGACCACCATCAGTCTGCACCCCGATGTGCTGCTTGCTCTCAGACCAGCCCCCTAGGACCACCGTGTGGGGTTGGCAAGTGGACTCCTGGGTTCGCTCCCAGCTCTGGCTAGGGAGTGGTGTCTAGTGGTTAGAGAGGGTGGCTCAGGGACCAGAACTCCTGGGTTCTCTCTCTAATGCAGGGCTGGGGAACTTTTTTCAGGTTGTGGTCCCCTGACCCACAGAAAAATCAGCCAGGAGGCACAGAACAAACCCTCATTGACATGGCCACTCACTGAGAAGCAAAAAGACCCTCTCCCCACTTTCCCCTGACACCCCAGAACCCAGGGGGGCCCAGGCTTGTAGATTTTGTGTGCTCCAGCCCCACAGTGGGGCGGTGGAGAGGGTGGAGCCCCAGCATGGGCTCTCCAGTGCTGGGAGGGGTCCCTGAACCTTGGGGGCGCGATCCAGAGAAGATATGGGGCTGTATCTGCCCCCCTGGGCCTTAGGTTCCCCACACCCACCCTAACGGACGCCTGGCCTGTTCTGCATCCGACCAGACTAGTGTGGGAGGTGAACCCTCGCAAAGCAGTGGCCGCTAAGGAGCTTTGGTGTATTAAAAAGCAGACTGAGGTGTGCTTATTGCAACCACGTGGGAATGCTTCATGATATTGAGGGAAAATGACCGCATGCCTCAGTTTCCCCTACATGGTGCACGGTTCCCCGGGGGGAGGAGAACATCTGTGCCTTGCAGGCTTGGCCAGTGCCTGCCTGTCAGGGGTCTGCATCCATCAAGAGCAAAAGACGATGTTTCGTGCCAATTGGCCGTACACTGGTACTCAGCAACTTTGGAGCGTGGGCAGCCAAGCCACCAGCAGGCAGCCAGCGGGGTGGGACCAGTTTGAGGCCAGAGGGCTGGGGAGGGGCCTGGTGGGGTGTGGAGTCTGGGCTGGGCTGCAGCAGCTGGTGGGGGGGGGGCGCCCTGCTCCCTTGGGGGTACAAATCTCGCTCAGGTGTCCAACTCAGGCAGACTCTGCAGGGCCTGGACGG